CTCTCTCCCAATGGCCAGGATGACTCCAGATCAACCAAGGAGGATGAGGACAAAGAGCAATCTCCCAGGCTGGCCCAGCAGGGCTCCCTGCCACCCACTGCCTGGCTCCCAGCCCCTCCGGCTGACCACAGTAAGGAGCGGATCTCCTCAACCATCCCTGCCTCCTCTCCGGCCTCCTCCAGGACCTGGACCTAGGGATCGAGAGACCCAGAGTGAGGTGGTGCCTGACAGCTTCCCCTCCTTTCCTAGGGTACCAGGCGCAGGACCCTACACACCACTGGAGCCCCTTGCCCTCTGAGGACTTCGGCAACCCTGGTAAGGAATCTCAAGGCCCTCCCCTCTGACTAGTGTGCAGAACTGGGGAGAGCCAGGGCTCGGCGCCAGCTAGCCTTTGTCTTTCCCCCAAAGCACCCAGCCCCAATAACAACAGCTAACATTCATTGAGGGCTTAGTTTATGCCAGGCATCTTTCGAAGCTCTCCCCGCAGCCTTGTGAGATAGATACTGCCATCATCCCCGCTTTACAGAGCCAGAAACCCGATGCAGAGGTTAAGAACCTGGCCCCAAATCACACAGTTAGTGGCCCTGGGAAAGGTACTAGCGGGTCACAGCTCCTAAGTGGCAGTGAGACATCAGAATCCAAGGGCCTGACGGCAGAGCCCCCAGCCCTCACTGCTGAGCATCGTGCTGGCCCCTCATATGGAGCCTACTGTGTTGTTGTTGTTGTTGTTTCTATCAGCATTAAAATATTTGCTGGGCAGGAGGCCCTGGAATCCCAGAGGTTAGGACTAGAAGGGCCCTAGGGTCACCCCCCAATTGTACAGATGGCCCCAGATCCTATTGACCGTGGAGCTCAACTACCAGTTCGTTTATACTGGAAGCTACTGCTATTTACTACTACTAGAGTTATCATTTCTCCGGAGGGATCACCCCAAATTCCCGAGGTGGAGGCAGGCAGGACCTGGGGTTGGAGGGGTGGCGGTCAGTGCTGGGGCCGCCAACGCCCCGCAGATTGCTGGCTGCACGTGCGGCTGTCCTCCGGCGCGCAGCTGGTGCGTGAAGCCACCGCGCGCAGGGCCGGGGCTGCCGCCTGAGTCCCCGGGCGGCCCCCGCGGCCGAGCGCCTGCTGGGGCCGCCACCGCGCCTCGCGCAGGTCCGCTTCCCGAAGCCCGGCGCCCGCGAGCTGCAGCGCTTGGGGCGGCACCTGCAGCGGGGCGTGCTCGCCGAGCGCCTGTGCCGGAGCCGCGGGGACCGGCGGGGCCCGCTCCGCCCGCACCGCGCGCCGCCCCACAAGCTGGAGCGCGGGCGCACCTGCCAACTGCTCGACACGCGCCGCTTCCTCAAGGGTAAGAGCGCGACGGCCGGGCCACTGGCGGCGTGGGACAGAGTGGCTGGGCACGAGGGCCGTGGGCAAAGGCACGGGAGCAGGGGAGAGTGGGCACACGAGATGTGAGCGCGGGGGAGGGGCGGGGATGGGCTTATGGATTCTGGGTTTGGGGTGGACGTTGAAACAAAGGACGTGACGCACGAGCACCAGGAGTGGGAACGAATGTGGGCATCCGGGGACCTGCGGGCACAGATAGAGACATAGGTTACGAAGAGTGTAGGCACGGGGCAGGCTTGGGGCATTGGGTGTGGGACACGAGCATAAGACTTGGGCACATGTATTGGCATAGGGCGCTAAGCGTAGGCTGGGCATTAGGGCACTGGGCACTCGATGGGCATAGGCGAATGGCAGTGGACATGGGGTGGGAATAAAGGTGTGACGGTGAGCATAGGACCACAAGGCACAGGGGATGAGCACTGGAAGCGGGCACAGATGTGGGACATGAGACAGGTATAGGGATGTGCAAGTGGGCATAGGGCATGGGCACACAATGGGGATGTGGCCTTATCGGACAGGGGCGTGGGATAGAAGCACAGGGTGGGCACCAGGTGGGATTCCTAAGCCCCCAGTCTTGGTGCCCGTAGAATTGCGTGCCCACCTTCAGGATGGTCGCCAGGAGCCCGAGTACCAAATCCGTCTGTGCTTTGGCAAGGAGTACCCAGGGCCCCCAGACCAGCCCGAGGAGCGGCTCATCATGGCCCACGTGAGTCACCTCCCACTCCAGCGAAGAGCCATGCCTTTCAGTCACCTCCAACAGCCCCTTACCGATTCCCTCCAGTCCTCAGCTCCTGACCCGATGACCCTCTGGTCTGTAGGACCCTGCACATAAAGTGCCTGTGGGGTGGGGACTGTCACTGGGACTGTGACTTCCCACCGGAACATATGGGGGGGGGTGCTGAGAGAGTTGGCTCATTGCCCCTCCCCCCCTCACAGGTGGAGCCAGTCTTCGCCAGCGAGCTCTTCCTGCACTCAAGCATCACTACCGTGGTATCCCAGCGGTGGCAGGTCCCCAGCCCAGCATCGCCCGATGGCGTCACTCACCTGCTGATGCAGCTGAGTCAGCAGTAAAGGGTCACTTCCTCCTCTCCTACCATTCAAAGTCACCCCGCTCCCGCGGGTGTGGACCCCACCCCAGACCTGCCCAAACTGCCAGTGGACTTGGGGCTGCCCATCGCCCAGGTCAGTGAGGAGGGCGGAAGCAGATCCGCCCAGGTCAGGGAGGAGGGCGGAAGCAGATTCAACCTCTCCCCGGCAGAGATGCAGCCCTGGAGCGCGGCGCGTGGGCGGACCGCCCGCAGCTGGGCCTGGGAAGTCAGGAGGAAACCAAACTCGACCTTGAGCTTCCGGAAACAGCAATTAGGGCAGAAACAAGATTTCATTTCTTGTTGAGAGCCCAACAGGTCTGTGGTGATATACTTGAGAGCCCGCTTTACCTGTAACTGATTCATTATAAGGTTTGCTTAAAGCTGGGTTTACCGATAATTAGATCCTCAGGGATTAGAGAGAAGCCAGACAGTAACAGAATTGCCTGGCCTCTAAGGGGCTCTGAGTTTCCAGACACTTCCTCCCACCTGCCACTAGTCTCTATTCTTAGTGGCCAGGGAGGGCTCCCACAGCAGAAAACTTGGCCTGAACCGGGGGCTTGGGGGTTGACAACTGAACCACCAGCACCGGTAGATATTGTGTTTGAAGGAATTCAGGCTGACCCCCAAACACAGCCCTAGGGCAGAAGCTAATGTCGGAGGCAGGGGTCCAGCCCCTCCCCAGACCCCACTGATCTTTGCAAACTGCAAGTTGTAGGAAGTCTTGAGAATTAGAAGGGAGCCCCTTCGACCATGAAGGCAACTTGCCTTGGCGGGAAATTCATTGTTTCCTGCCCCAGATATCAGACCTTGTTTCCTTTTCTGATTTCTGACTTTCTTTATAGAGATTCTCCTACAGATGGCAACATAATAAATCTCTTTTAGTGATACATTAATACGCCTCTTTTATGGTGGGGGGGGGAGCTGTACGCTTCGGCAAAGGACAGAAGTCAATCAGATCACTGTTTTTTATTCATTCAACAAATGTTGATTGAGCACCCACTCGGTTTCCAGGCCAGTGCTGGACAAAACAGCACATCCCTGCTGTCGTGGGGTTCATAGCCTGTGTTCCAGTGGGGGTCCAGTGACTGTCCTCTCTCCCTGATTCTCTCCTATAGAAGGGGTGGTTTCAAGGAGTTATAGAATACTAGATTCAAATCCCAGCTTTGTTCTTCACTAGCTGTGTGACCTCAGGCAAGTCACTTAACCTTTCTGAGGTGTAGATTCTCCACCTATTCAAAAGAAGCCATGAAGGGCTGTAGAGCAGCGTTGGTCCAAGGAGAGAGAAGGCGGGTTGTCAGGAAGCTGACATGGAGAGTGACACACAGTAGGTGTCCTCTGACTTGGTTACTTATGGGTGGGAGAGCATAGAGTAGGCTACCCCATCCTTCAGAAGACCTGACTGGCCTAGGCTTCACTGGCCCAAGGCTGCAGCTGATGGGTAGCCTCAGTTCAGAGTGACATTCCTGAGTCACATCCAAACCCCTACTCCGTGCTAGACTCTTGGAGGGTGCTGGATGCCGTGTAAGGGGGCCTGTTGCCTCCTCACCACAGTATGGACAACTGAAGAGTCGCCAGCTCCAGTTTAGAGATGGGAAACTGAGGCTTGGCCAAAGTCAGGGACTTGCTTGAAAAGCCTCTTGGGAGGAGGTGGGGGGATGTCTCTGCCCAGATGGCTGTCCTCCCCACACCAGTCACTAGAGGGCGCCGGAGCTCAGCCTACGCGGTTTGGCGGTTCTCACCACCTCCGTGGCGCCCGCCCCCAAACGCCCAGGAGCTAGTGTGACCCCGGGGGCTGCACCCTGCTGGGAGGAGAAAGTAGACCCCAGGCCTGGAAGAAGGAGAGGGGAAAAGGGGAGCTAAAGGCGGGGACTTGAGGACCCCTGGGGCTTTTCCCACCGGGGTCCCCAGTTCTCCAGCTCAGCCCCTTTGAATCTACCTGTGTAGTCTCTCTCCTCAGTGTGCCTCTCTCTGTCTCTCTGCCCTCTGTCTCTTGCGTCTGTGCTGTGTCTCTCTCTGCATCTTTCTCTTTCACTCTGTGCATTGATATCTCTCAGTGATTCTTTCTCTGTGTGGTGTATGCGTGTGCGTGTCTGGCTCTGTGTGTCTCTGTTCTTTCTGCTTTATCTTTGTCTCTCTATGTATGTCTCTGCCTCTGTCTCGCTGTGTGTGTCACTGTTTCTCTTGTTATGTCTCTACCTCTCTGTGTCTTTCTCTCTTTTGGTTTCTCCGTCTCTGTCTCGCTCTGTTGCCTGTGCTGTCCCTCGCAGCCACCACCACCCAGCACATGGGGGCTGAGGGTCTCGGTCTCTTCCCTCCTATTTCCTCACCCCAGGCAGCAGCGGCTCCCAGCTTCCCAGTCCTGGCCTCCCTGCCCGCCCCTCTTGGGCCTGGCGGCGGGGAGGGGGGCGAGGGAGGAAGGGAGGGCAGCCTGGTGGGCCCACCCCTTTTTGCCTTTCCAGGCTGGGAGGCTGGGCCAGTGGGCCTTTTAACCAGCCCGGGCAGGCTGTGCCGGACACCGGGTCTGGACGCCTGTGCCTGGCCCCTCCGTGGTCCCGGCAGCCGCCAGCCCCGGCCAGCCCCGGCCAGCATGCAGCAGCAGCCCCTACCCGGGCCCTTGGCCCCTGCGGCCGAGCCCACCAAGCCTCCCTACAGCTACATCGCTCTGATTGCCATGGCCATCCAGAGCTCACCGGGGCAGCGGGCCACACTCAGTGGCATCTACCGCTACATCATGGGCCGCTTTGCCTTCTACCGCCACAACCGGCCCGGCTGGCAGAACAGCATCCGCCACAACCTGTCACTCAATGAGTGCTTCGTCAAGGTGCCCCGCGATGACCGCAAGCCAGGCAAGGGGAGCTACTGGACGCTGGACCCCGACTGCCACGACATGTTTGAGCACGGCAGCTTCCTGCGCCGACGCCGACGCTTCACCCGGAGAGCAGGTGCCGAGGGAGCCAAGGGCCCTGCCAAGGCACGCCGTGGACCCCTCAGAGTGAGCAGCCCGGATCCAGGAGTCCCCGACGCCATGACTGGCAGGCCGTGCCCCTTCCCACCGGAGCTGCCAGAGCCCAAGGGCTTAAGCTTTGGGGGTCTGGTAGGGGCCTTGCCAGCTAGCATGTGCCCAGCAACCCCGGATGCCAGGCCCCGGCCGCCCACAGAGCCCAAAGAGATGCCCACACCTAAGCCTGCAGGCCCAGGGGAGCTCCCTGTGGCCCCCTCGTCTTCCCCGTGCCCAGCATTTGGCTTTCCTGCGGGCTTCTCTGAGGCCGAGGGTTTTAGCAAGGCCCCCACGCCCCTCTTGACCCCAGAGGCAGGCATCGGGAGCAGCTACCCGTGCCGGCTGCAGGCACTGAATTTCTGCATGGGGACTGATCCAGGCCTTGAGCACCTCTTGGCCTCAGCAGCCCCCTCTCCGGCACCACCCACCCCTCCAGCCTCACTCCGGGCGCCGCTGCCCCTGCCAGCTGACCCCAAGGAACCCTGGGTCGCAGGAAGTTTCCCTGTCCAGGGAGGCTCCAGCTACCCATTGGGGCTGACCCCCTGCCTATACCGGACACCAGGAATGTTCTTCTTTGAGTGAAGCCAGCCTGGCCTCAGGCAGTCCCTGCAGGGCCCCTGCCAACCACACCCTCCAGGCTGAGCCTGACTCAAGGATCTGGGGAGCTTTCAAGGGACCCAGGCCTGACAAGCCAACGACCGGGACAGGAAGCCAAGATTGGAGTAGTGAACACTCAGCCAGCCCTGGCGCCTCCGGACAGACTTGAGGGAGAGGGGAGGCAGGGCCCCCTTGGGATTTACTCTGTGGCTCTCAGGGCCAATAAAACCAGTGTGATGGATGAGGATCAGCTTCCTGGATGGTTGGGGGCTGAGGGCCAGGACGCCTGGTTCTGTGTGCGGTGGCTGTGGTTGGGGGATTTTGGGGCAGGGGACCCTGGATGGAAATGTCCCATATGAGGCTTTCTCCTGCTGGGGACTTTCTCAGGGAGTTTCCCAGGAAGGTGGAGGAAGAGGGAGCAGGGAATAAGGAAGAGAGAAAGGGAGTGTAGCCAAGAGACACCCGGCAGGGGGTGAAGGGGGGCTGGCCTGAGGGGCTAATTCTCCAGCCCCAAGCTCTGTCACTCAGCACCACCGCCCCCCATTATGAGTGGTCAGAATAACTGTGACCATTTGTGGCATTTATTCTGTCCTGGGCTTGTCTCTATCCTTTCCCCGAGCCCTGTGCAATTTGGAATGTTATCCCCATTTTACAGCGGTGGAAACTGAGGCTCAGAGAGTTTGGGGTCCAGATGGCAAATGAGTAACTATACCCCCAGCCCCTGTCCCGCAGTCTGAGTGAGGACACGGGGGTGGCGCACAGGGTAGGAGCAGAGCTGGTGTTGACCGCCAGAGCGGGAGGGGCTTTTATGGAATCCTGGAATGCTATTACAAAAAAGACACCCTGACCCCTTGCACAGACAGGGAAACCGAGGCTCAAAAGGCAGGCACCAGGCCCCTTGTCTGCATTTCCCACATGAATGAGGGATCTCCCTGAGCCCACAGCTCTCCAAAGGCCTCCTGATGACTCTTTAAGAAAGCATTTCTGTCATGCGGGGGAGTGGGTGGCTGTCCTGGGTACGGATCAGAAGTGACTGAGCCCTGACCTTTGGCCTCTTCTAGCCTCCCCGTTGGGCAGAAGCAGGAGAAATGGGTATACTCATGGCCCCTATCAGAGGAAGAGACTCAGGGACCTGAAAGCTCCCTGTCCCCACACCCTTCAATACCCAGAGTTGCTGAGGCAAAGGGCTTCCTCCTGGAAGCCTTGGTACCCCCATCTGGATCCTGGGTAGAGGGAGAAAAGAAAGCGGCCAGGGATACTGGGGAACCCCCTTTCTGGCATTTGATGTAGGGGCCTGATGGGTCTCCCGTCCCACGAGGTGACACCCAGGGGGCTGGAGACCCCTTGGTCGGGCAGGCAGCCCAGTCCCTCCAGAGGCCTACACTCAGGCAGGCGGCCATGCTGATTTCAGTCTCTGCTGCTCCCTCCTCCCTCAACAGGTCCCCTGGGGCCTGGGCGGAAGCGAGCCCGGCTGGACAGTCCCAACTGTCTGGTTCCCACAGACTCCAGAGCCTCCAGGGTGGAGGGAGGACCTGCAGGGTGGGGGCTCACTGTGGCCGCAAGGGGTTGGGAAAATGCCTGGCCAGCTGTGGGGCCCCTCCCCGCCATGCACGCCGGACCCCAACCTGGAATCCATCTAGCAATGGGCAGAAGAAGAGAGGGTCTGTCCTGTCTCATCACATGCAGGAAGCCTCATGGGCCAAGAGTAGAGCGACGTTCTGTGTGAATGGGGCATGAGTGAGAAGAGGGGAAGGAGATGCTTCTGTGGGTTTGTTCCAAGGTGTGTGCTTGTGTGTGTGTGTGTGTGTGTGTGTGTGTGTGTGTGTGAGTGTGTGGGGGGGATGCACAGAGACAAACAGATAGTTACAGAGACAGGGACAAACAGATTCAGGGGGTAAGTGTTCTTTTTCAGTTGGGTCAGGGAAAGAGGCCTCTGCCGGGCACTGTTCCCTGTGGCGCATTCCTGTGGAGACCTGGTGACCCCAGTCCCTTCCCAGCCTGTGTCCTGAGCTTGTAGGAGGATGGGGAGGCTGGCCTGACTAGGGAGCCCCCACCTCTGCACCCTGCTCCAGCCATCCTCTAAGGAGCTTAGCATCTGAACTGGGGTGGGGGCTTGGGGAAAAGGAAGCCACGTCCCACCCTTTGCCCTGGGGAGACATACCAAAAAGGATCAATCACAGCTGGTGCACAGACTCAGCTATGGGCCAGAGCCCTCTCTCCATGTCCTTCTCTGACCCCCCAACATAGTCTAGAAGTGAAGACAAGTCCCCTCAGTCCCAATTCCCAAGCAGGACCCTGGGCTCAGCGCCTGCCTTGAACTCGCTGTCTGAACCTGGCTGAGCGCCCATCTCTCTGGGCCCTGATTTCACTCCCTTTGCCCAGCAAGGGTTGGGGAAAGGGCAGCCTGACTCTGAGTCTGCGTCCCAGGGGAGGGTCTGACATGGGGGACTGCCTGGAGGGGGTCCCATCCCCAGAGGTGCTGGACCAGGAGGCCCAGACACCATGATCTCATGTTGCCCTCTGCTGGCTGCCCGGCCCGGGGACCCCACCCACTGGGCCTCCTGCCCTCACATTCTTTCCATGACCAACAGACGCCCTGTGGCTCCTGCCTGGCCACCCCCACCTGGAGGGGAGGACAGTGCTTAGCAGAGATTCAGAATGTCTAAGCCAGGCCAACCCAGAGAGCACCTCAGCACAGATGGACAGACCAAGGCCAGAGAAGGCAAACAACGTGCCCAAGGTCACACAGCAAAGCAGGAACTGGTAACCCCTCCGCTGCCTTAACTGTGCAGCCCTTAGAGGACAGGAGCTGTCCCATTTGACTCTGCCTCAGGGACCCTCCTCCTCCCTGGAGGCTTGTCATCTCCAGAGGGGGATCCCAGCCCCTCCAACTCGTCCCCAGCAGGTTAGTGTGGAAAAGGGTGGCGAGTTGCCTTGTAGGGTCAGGCTAAATCAAATTCCAACATGGTGGAATCAGGGGCATTTAAGAATATTCCAGAGTTTTTATTCACAGCAGCTTAGATTCTTGGCATATCTCTTGCCCAATTTCTGAACCCCCTCTACACCAAGTACCAAATCGCATGGGGTTCCAGGAAAGGGGAGCCCGCTGCCTTCAGAGGCGGCCCCTTCCCGCCCAGGCCTGGCAGCTCTGAAGCTTCACCTGCTGGTCCTCTGGTCTCTGCTCTCCCTGGCCCCAAGGAGGCCACCCCCACCCACAGGGCTGGGCCTTCCTCAGACTCCTCCACCCTCCACATCTTATCTCCCTCCGCTCTCCCGCCCACCCGCTTCCTTCCCCGGTTTATGGCATTCCACTGCCCAGAGCTCAACACTCCCCACACCCAGACAGCGCCTGAGCCAGGGGCCTAGAGACCCTGGCTACTCTGAGGCCGCCACAGTGGTGAGGGAGAAGGGGGAGGCATGTCCGCCTGCAGAAAGTGTATGGGACCTCGCAATCCAGTCTTCAGCCAAAACATCCTGTCCCGACGACACCCAGGTGATTCCCATCTGCCAGGGGCAGTAGGCACAGCTCTAAGAGCAGGAGCTCTGGAGCCCAGCTGCCTAGGTTCAGATCCCAGGTCTGTCGCTTCCTAGCTGTGTGACCTCGGGCAAGTTGCTTCCCCTCTCTGTGTTTTCCTCATCCAAAACATATGGACACTAACAGTGGGAGTCTATGGGGTTGTTGTGAGGATGACATGAGTCAATATTGGCAAAGTGCTTAGAACCCGGTCGGGCACAAGGAAACCGCAATGTGTTTAAATTTTTTAAAAAGTTGAGTCCCAGGGGCAAGTCCCCTTAACCTGATCTACTCCCCAGGAGAAGATGGGGAGATAGAGGGGAAGGGAAGACTGTTACAGAGACAGGCTTCGGGTTCAATTCCTGGCATCTCCACTTCCTTGCCGTGTGACTTGGAGCAAGTAGACTCACCTCTCTGAGTATCGTTTTCTTCATCTGTAAAATGGGGGTAATGTTGTCAATCCCCAGGACCGGTATGGGGGAAACCTCGTCCCACACACTGTGCGTACAATTTGGCCAACAAGAATGATACCAGAACATAAGACAGCCCCGCTGAGGGGCCTGGTACCTCAGCCCAGTCGCTCTGCCCCTTCCTTTGCACGTGGCAAACCTCTGTCCCCGCACAGCCAGAGGGGCCCAATCCCTGCTCCTGCCCCACTGGTAACTGGGTGGAGACAGGGAGGCAGCTGGTGGGGCCAAAGGAAGTGGCTCCAGGCTAAAAACAGGCCAGAGGCCCATTTAGTCACACAGCCAGAATCCTGCCTGGTGGCGCCTGCCTCCTCCTGACCACAGCCCTCAGGGAGCCCTGATCGGTCTTGGATACAAATGAGAGGCTGACCTTCCTGCTCCTGAAGACAGCCAACTCCCTGGTGGGTGCTGTTTCCACCTCTCGGCCCTTGCACTTGCTGTCCCCTCCACCTGGAATGCTCCCTCCCTGCTGGCTGACTTCTCAACATCCAGAGGCCAAGTATCACCTGCTCAGAGAGCCTTCCCTCACCCCCTTAATTGATTAGATGCTTCCAGATTAGTGTCCATCTCCTGCATCCCATTTGTTCCCTCCACCAGGCACCTACTGCAAAGTGGGATTGTGCATTTCAAGGCGTGTTCACTTTTTATTGTGTTTCTGACCTTGAACGCAAGCTTCAGGGAGCTAGGGTTGGTCTGCCCTGTTCATTGGATCCACTTTCCTAACCCGGCAACGAGCACACAGAAGGCCCTCGATACAGGTTTGCTGAGTGGATGAATGGAGTCATGGCCACCCACCCGTTCATCCCTTCGCCATGGATGAAATCTCAGAGAAGCCCCCAGGGGCTTGGTGACCTCCTCAGAGCAAAAGCCCAAGTTAGGGGCCCTGGGCCATCCAGCTTCGTCCTTGCTAGCCCTACCCTCACTCCAAACCGCCTTTGCACTTGGTCTTCCTTCTGCCCGGAACAGTCTTCTACTAACCCCCAGAGTACACTTTGATCTCTGTTCAAACGCTGTCCTCAGAGAAGCCTTCCCAGACTCTGCCCCCACCCACGCCACCAGCACATTCTAAATTCACTACTGCCTGGTCAGAGTTCTCCCACCTCAAATAGAGCTCCACAAGGCCAGAGACTTCTACCTCCTGGCTGCTTGCCCTCCAGCACCTAGAATGCTCTCTGGAACACAGGAGGGTCTGCAGACATAGTTGTGGAACAAATAGAAGCTCAGCATCTTGGGCCACCTCTTCTATCTTCATCCCTCGTGGGACGCATTGTTCCCGCGAGGCACGTATGATAATTACCCCCATTTTACAGACAGGAAACTGAGGCTCACAGAGGGCAAATAAGTAGATTTGAACCCCGTTCTGTGTGCCCTGAGCCCAGTCTCTGTCATCTGCCTGTCCCCCTAGAGGCACATGAGACCTGTGTCTCCCTCTCGTCCCCCCACTTCTCTCAACCGCTCAAGCAGACCTGGCCCGGCCTCCTTCTGGCCTCCTTGCCTCCAGCCTCTCTCTCCCACTCACTGACCTCGCTGGTTTACGAGGGATCCCTGTAAACCACAGATCTGGCCATGTGCCTCCTTTGCTCAAAACGCCTCCGTATCTCCCTATTGCCCTGATTCAGGCTGGCATTTGAGGCCCCTGCCAACTTCTCCAGACTGATTTCCTGCTTCATCATATGTAAAAGCCATACTGGGAGGCTCCAACACAATCTTGCTCTTAGCCACAAGCCTCTGGACACGTGATCTCCTCTGCCTGGAACACTGTCCTTGCTCCAACTGGAAAAGGCCTGCCCCTCAACTGCTCTCAGCTTGGATGTCACTTCCTGCCGCGGGAGAAAAGAGAATAGGAGTTCGTGTCTCCTTCCATGTCTCTCCAGCTTCACCCTAACCCCCAAGCTCCCACCCGGTGGGGTTCCAGAGGGTGTGAGCTCCCTGAGCGGGGGTGGGGGGGGTGGGAGGGGTGGAAACCATGACTAATTCACCTCCGGGTTCTAGCTTGGGGCCAGGCCGAGAGCAGGGACTCTCCAAATAGCTGTGACATGATTGGGCCGTGTCAGAAGTCAGACCGCCTGCTTTGCACAGTGACCCCACCGTGTACTGGCTGGGGATTCAGGGACTTGTCCATAAACTCCCTGAGCCTCAGCTTCCTCATCTTAATGAAATCCCTAATGAAAATACCCACTTATAGGGTGGGGATGAAATGAGTTCATAAATGGAAATCACTTGCTACAGTGCCCGGTGCTCAGTAAATAACAGCCATTAATGTGCCGAAAGGAACAGGTGCGTGTGCAGCCGTGCAACTGGGAGCTTGGTGCAGGTAGGCACATCCTTCAGGACAGCCCTGGCTGCTGGACACCCTCGGGCCGCCCTGTCACTGGTCGAAGCTTTTCCCACCATTGCCCTGTTGGGTCCAAGGTGGCCAGTGGAATTCAAGGCCACTGGACGTAGACAGGAAGAGGCAGCGTCACCAGGCCCGGCGTAATCCAAACCAGATGCGGCCTCAGACCCATGGGGGTGGTCACTGTGGGCCTGGCCAAGGCCCAGAGGCAGGAAATAGTCTTGGAGGAACGCTTTCTGGGCTGGAACCCGCCCGGAGGAGCTGTCCTGTTGAGGGTGTTAACCCTTCTTAGCCCACAAGGGGGTGCCCAGGACACCGGGCAGGGGAAACTGGTGGCACCGGCCCCAGGAGGCACCATGCACCTTGCAGGGAAGATCGCAGTGTCATCATTGTAATGGGCACCATGCAGAAGGGGCTCACAACCAAGCACTGTGGTGGGTAGGGCACACCAGGCAAGGGGCAGGGGATGCTCCCAGCCTGGTACCTGGGACTTGAAGAGTCACAGCCCAGAACCTTGGCCCAAAGAGCCATGGATTCACTCCCTCCATCAGGATGGCTCCTCGGGTGAAAAGCTTTTTCCTGCAAGGCCCCTGGGGATGGGAGTTCTAGTGATGGTAGTGGGGCCGGGGCCCAGGCCTTCGAAGAGGCAGAAACTCAGCCCCATCGTGACTTTTTCCTGTGTGTTTTCTGTGGCCCTTGGAAGGAACAAATCTCTCTGAACCCCCATTTTGTCACCCATATTGTCGGGTCTATATCCTTTACCTCCAGGGACCAGGGGAGGCCAAAGGAGGCCCCTGATAAATCAAAAAGAGCCTTTCAAGATGTGCTCCTGGGAGGCGATAGGACAAAAGCAGTGATCAGGCCTGTTCCATGGTTCTGGGTGGGCTTCCTTCCTAGGAAAGGTTAATTTGCTGTGTGGCCTCCGGCAAGTTACCTTCCCTCTCAGAACCTGTTTCCTCATCTGTGAAATAGGGTGAATGAGCGCCCTATCCCGTCTTGCGACTGTCATGAAGGCCTAGGAGTGGCTGCGGAGAGCAGAGCCGTGGTTGTCATTTGCATATTATGGAGGAGGAAATTGGGACCTGTGCTGAGAGTCAGGGGTCCTCGGTTCTAGTCCCAGCTGTTGCTCTCTGCTGAGGGGCCTTCCTCGTTTTGGCCTCGGTTTCCCCAGCTGGATCCAGGCCCTGGATCTCTGCTGTGGCTGGACCTCATTTCCTCACCCCCCCCACCCCGCCTCACGGCTGTGACTCAGCCCTCATCATCACGCTGTGTGGCCGAGGCTCAGCCTGGGTGGGGGCCAGCAATGCGGAGAGAACTCAGAGGAAACCACAGGCCTGGCCCAGCTGGCAGGTGCCGAGAGGGCGGGCAGGCGGGCAGGCAGGCAGGGATCCACGGCCCTGGGGGCCTTGTCTATAAGCACAAGTCCCACCAAGAACCCCAACCCAGGTTCCCCAGGCCCCCCAACCCTGAGTGTAAGACCCACCGGGCTTAGACCCCAAAGTCTGCCCCACCTCACCCCATGTGGCACCTGCTGCAGTGGGAGGCTGCACCCACCTGCTGGTACAGGGCAGGGGTGGGGTTGATAACCCCGGCCCTGCCCTCCAGGCCAGTATTCATGGAGTCAGGGGAGATAGGGATGAACAGGGTCCTGGTCTGTGGTCAAGTCCAAGATTTCTCAAGAGGCGGGCGGTGCAGCAGTTAAGAGCAGGGGCTCTGGGCCGGTACTGTCTGGATATCAGTCCTGGCTTGGCCTTCGACTTGCTGTGCGACCCTAAGCAAGGGGCTTAACCTCCCTGAGGCTTGGTTTCCGCATCTGAGAAATGGGCCTAACACCATGCCTGCTGGGCAGGATCACCATGAGCAGTCAACGTGATCATGAACACGCGGAGCTGGAGCAGGGCTGGTAGGTACCCAGCAGCGCGCCATGCACGTGAACGGCTGTCGCTGCCACACCTGCTGGAACCCATTCACCCCAAGCAGGCAAATCAGCTGCCCCGCTGAGGCCAGTCCCACTTCTGACTCAGTTGTCCTCACAGCCAGAAAGGCTGTGCCCTCTTCGGGTCAAGCTCTCCCACCCTCTGAGCTGCCTTCTGCAGCAGATGGGAGCCCCTCCCCTGCACGGCAGGCCCCCGGCAGGAAAGAGCAGAGAACAGCTCTCTCCCCCAAAGCGTCTGGGGAGACCCCCACCACTGCAGGTCCAGCAAAGGTGCCACAGGCCTGCCCAAACCTCTGGCTCCACCTGGAGACTCTGCTTTCTGCTGACACCTCGTTCTGTGGGGAAGCAGTGTGGACTTGCGCGCAGAGCCTTGCTCTGGGAGACCAGAGTTTAAGGTCCAGCTTCTGACTTGTTGAATAGCCTTCAAGTTCCTTCCCCTCTCTAAGCCTCAGTTTCCATGCGCCGCCCCCCCGCCCGCCACGTAAAATAGGAATAATAATAATGTCCTCCTCATAAGCTTGCTGCGAAGGATAAATGAGTTAATACCCGTATAGGCACTTAAATGGAGCCTTGCACCCAGTAAGCACCCAATACATGTTGGATGGTGCTGTGACAGAGGAGCAGATTGAGGCCCAAAGTGGGAAAGCCGCTTGCCCAGAGCCTGAGCTGGGCAGCCTGGTTCCTGAGGCTGCACCGGGGGCCACCATGCTGCGCCCTGAAGGGCCCCTCGAGGGCCCAGCCCACAGCAGCGCTAGGGGAACGGTGGTCATCTCTGACCTCACCCAAGTGCATGCACACACCCAGGGAAGGAAGCCACATCCAACCTGTACATTTATTTACAAGGCACAAGCTGAGAGCAGGTGGGGGACTGCCCGATGGCTTTCCCACTCCTCCTGGGCCTGCTGACCCCATCATCCAAAGCCATGGGTGACCCTGGGGCTGAGGGCCCCGAGTGGCTGGGCTGGGCCCGCCTGGCCCTCAGGCAAGCTCGGGGGTGGTCTCCCTGTCCCCCAGGCCCCTCCCCTCCCCCTCCGCCAGGCCTGGGCTGGGCGTCCTTCTCTCACACAGAGTTCCTGTGTGTTGGTGGTTGTCAGGAAGGTGGGCGGGGGCCGGGCCCAGGCCAGATGGTGTGTACTCGGTCTTATCTGTTGGGAGTGGGGAGGAGGGCGGGGGCATGGAGGTCCTCTTTCACAAAGCCTGCTCTGTCTCCCCTGGCAGCTGGGCCTCAGGAATTGGCCTTGCTACCTTCCTGCCCCACCAAGGGCCTCCCATCCACAACTGCAGAAGCCCCGCATGCTGGGACCCCCAGCCTTCCCGTTCCAGCTAGGAGCAAGCCCAACCCAGGGATGCCCCAGGTGAGGCCAAGCAGGGGTCACCAGGGCAGCAATTCCAAGAGGGGGAGCCAGGGAGGGAACAACAGGGCCTGTGGCATCTGGGCTGTGGCTCACGGGGCCGGGGCCCTGTCTGGGGAGGCATTAGCAGGATCGATTCAGGCCACATCTGAGGCGGCTCACGTCGGGGAAGCAGTCGCTGCGCGGGGTCGTGGGGAGCCCCGAGCCTCCCAGCCTGGCGCAGCCTTGTCCTAGCCAGCCCACCCTGGGGATCTGGCCTGTCTGCTCTGGCCTTCTGGGCTGTGTGGCCTCAGCCCCGGCCACCGTTCGGCTGCGTCCAGGCCTCAGCAGCTCCTGGGGCTCAGACCCCCAGAGCCATGAGTGCCCCCGAGCTGCTGATCTTCTTGAAGCGGTTTGCAGCACTGACAGCAATGAAGTTTTTCTGGGGGAGGAGGGAGAAGGATCCCAGTCAGCCTCAGGGCAGAGGAGAAACTGGCACTGCTGAGCGGCTCCTAAGACCTCCTTCATTCCCCAAAGGCCAGAGGCTAGAGAGGGTGCAGTACCAAGAATGGCCACAGGAGGTGCCATGATACCATATCTTCCGGGACCCCTTCCTTCATTCAGCAGGTAGGGCAGCCAGACCTGAACACCTCTCTGTTCTAGATGCTCCAGTGGTTCCTATTTCGCTCCAACTAAAATGTAAGCCCCTTGCCATGGCCAATGAGTCCCTCCACCCCCTGCTTCCCATTCTGCTCTGCCTTCATCTCTCTTCACCCCTTGCTCATCCCACTCCACCTTTACTGGCCTCCTAGCTGTTCCTCATGCTTGCCAACCATGCTTGTGCCTCAGGGCCTTTGCACTGGCTGTTCCCTCTTCCTGGAACACTCTTCTTCCCAGTACCAGCATGGCTAACTCCTCACCTCCTTCAGGTTTTTTGTTCACATGTTCCTTCTCAGTGGGCCCTTCCTGACCACCCTACTTAGAAGTGCAACCTCTCGCCTGGCACTCCTGACCATCCTTATTTTTTTCTAGAGCCCTTCCTTAACCCCTTCTAATAACTCCCCACCCTCTATCTAAACTAAGTCCACAAAGACTAAAATCCTTGTCTCTTTTGTCCACTGGTGTACTCCTGGTGCCTAAAAGTAGTAGATGCTCAATAAATATTTGTAAAATGAAGGGAAGGGGCCTGTGATGGGGCCAGAGATCTTTTCCTGAGCCTGAGCTTCAAATGGACACCCCTCCCCAGGGTGGAGGTGGTGGGTGAAGGGTCACTGCTCCAGGACAGGTACCGGAACAAAGAGATAAAAGCCAATCCTGTTTCCCGGACAGGGCTAGGCCTGGTCCATAGAAGCTGCCAAGGCAGGGCTGGTGGGGCGTGGGATCTGCCAGGAGCTCTTCCCGCCTGCAGCCCCTCCTACCTCCCCACCCGCCCAGTGGTACCTTCCAGCGCCTCTTCATGAGGTATTTCTTAAGCAAGATCTGGGACTTAAGGCGTCGGTTACAGCGCTTGGCTTTCTCTGCCAGGTTGTTAAGCCAGGGGTGGGCAAGGCACTGGGCAGCGCTCATCCGGGCCCTGTGGGAGGGGGCAGTGTGGTGAGGGCGGGCGGCATGCCTGTGAAGCACCAGAACCCAGCCAGTCCCGGCCTTCTTCCTGCCCTGCTGGCGCACACGCGCGCGCACACACACACACACATGCACACGCACACACACACACACACACACTGGGCTTGCACACACGGGGGCTGTGTCCTCATGTGAGCCTCACGTCTGGTCCTTGACAAGGAGGCTGGAGACGAAGTCTTTGGCCTCGTCAGACACAGCCTCAAAGGTTTCGCCGTCAAAGCTCCAGTCAGCGCAGAGGACGTTGTTCAGGGTCTCCGTGTCATCGTCTCCCAGGAAGGGCGAGAGGCCGCTCAGCCTGGAGAGATGGGGTATCAGGGGGCAGGGAGGGGAGATGGGAGATACTGAGTCACCTTTGGGGGCTCAAGGGATGGAGGCAGATCCTGGGAGGCAGCACCATGTGCTGAAAAGAGCCCCGGCCTCCTGAGGGAGACAGACCCAGGTTTGAGTCTGGCTGGGTGACCTTGGGCAAGTCAGTTCCCCTCTCTGAGCCTCATTCTTCTCATCTGTAAAATGGACATAATCATCCCAGCTTCCCAGGGTTACAGTGAAGAAGAGGAATGATGAGTGTACCAAAAAAAAGTCTGCTGCCTCCCTGCGCCCACCCTGGGTCATCGAGAATCTGCTGTCCAGGAACCTAGGCTAGGACACTATGCCTTTCGGGGCCTTCATTTCTCCATCTACAAAATGGGTACAAAGTTCCCCTTTCCTGGTTCCCCCTAGCACACCCAAAATCCCAACAAAACCCTGACCGAGGGAGTGGGGAGGTAGAACCGACCTCACCAGGACCCCAAGGCCAATTTTGGCCTCAGCTGCCCACCCATGTGCCCCAATCCCATAAATACCACACTCCCTCAGGACTCACAGCATATAGGTGATGACCCCCATACTCCACATGTCTGTCTTATCGGAGATTTGGTCATAATTCACCACTTCAGGTGACAGAAACTCTGGGGTCCCAAAATTCACCTTCAGCTTCTCATTGGGATTATACCTGGGAGTGAGAGCACGAGCTCAGAGCGCAGCCCCCAGCCCACTCCCCGCAACCTCTGCTCTTCCCCTGTCCCCTGCCCACCTCAGACGCTTGCCCTGCCCTCCCCACCCACCAAGGGGGTACCTCCGTGCCAGGCCAAAGTCAATGATCTTCACCAAATGGCCCGTGGTGTTGACGCACAGGATGTTCTCTGGCTGAGGAGAAGGGGGTGGCCTGGATTGACCTCTGACCCAGCTCACCCTGCCTCCCCACCCAGGTCCACCCAGGGCCCAGGCTTTCTGGACCAGAGCCCCAGGCTGCCAGAATGGGCAGCCTGTCAGAGACCCCCAGACCTGCTTGCTCCAGGCACAGATGAGGACCCTGAAGCCCTGCGAAGGACTTCCAGGGCTGGGACTGTCCTCTCCTGGCCTCCCTGCCCCCCCACCCCCACCCCACCGGTGTCCGCTCAGCTAAGGCTCCTGGGAATCGGGTGGCCCCAGCACAGGTGAGTGTATGAATGACTTTCCTGTGAGGCCAATCCTTCCCTGCTCTGGGCCTCCATTTCCTCCTCACGTGACACAAGGACACAGGACTAATCTGAGGTTGCAAAGCAGAAGCGTTTTAAGTAGTTAACAATGGTTAAAAGGCAGGAGACTTCACACAAAAACCCTGCTTTCCTGATCTTCGACACCTCCTGAAACCCCAGAAGCCCTAGCTATGTGGCCACACGGCACCTGGTGTGTGTCGCCACTGTCCCCTGAGCCGGGCGCTCGGCCCCCAGTTCCCGGGTCCTCCACTGCTCCAGGCCAGGCCCTTATTCATCAGAGCTCCGTGGGCATTTGACTAGAGGGCCCTGACACCGTGCATTCGGAAAGTGCTTTTTGAACGGACGCAAACCTCTAATGACCTTAACAGCTCAACCTGGGTGTTCCAGCAAAACAGGGAAAAGAAAAGAAAGGTCCCAGGGTACGATCTTTTGGGGGTGCGAGGCAGACTCAGACCTCCTTCTGGAGGACACAAGACTTCCTGAGGAGCCCTGGGAAGGGCCTTCAGGCCGTGGTTCCCCCAACTTACTTGACCGTGAGACGGCTTTTTGATGAGAAACTTATTGCTACCCTGAAAAAACACAGTTTAGGATAAAGAGCCTTAAGACAGCTTCTTCCCGGGGCACTATGCTTTAACTGGGGACCCTGCTCGGCCCCCAGAGCCACTGGCTTTCACGGGGCACCAGCAGGCCTCCAGCGCTGTGTGCAGCTCCAACCAGAAGCTCAGGAGTCACCCTATGCTTTCCTTTCCCTGTCTCCTACCCCCTCCCGCATCAGCAGATCAGGTTGGCTCCATCTTCAGAACATACCCATTGTCTGGCCACCTCCCATCGCTCCACCACGGCCACTGGTGCCAGCCCCCCACCACCTCTGCCCTTGGTCATGACAACCGACTCCTAGATCCCCTGCTGCCATGTTGGCCCGTTGAAACCCATCTCCTTACCCTCCTGGCTTCCTGCCTGCATAGCTGCCCCGGGGGCCATCAGAAGGCGCTTACAGCCCCAACAGCTCTGACCCGGAACCAGCCTGGAGCCGGTGTGGGCCGGCCCCCTGCCTGCTTCTGCTCGAAGGCTCTGGCCCTTGCCTGCTTCTCCAAGTTCACCTTGTCTGTCTCCCCGTTCCTCTCATGTGCTTTTCATGACACTTGGCACGGTTTAAAAGGATCTATTGTAGGAATGTCTGTTTCCCCCAGTGACCTGTAGGCCCCTGGGGACAGAGGCGTGTCCTTCGTCATCCCTATGGTAACCCCCCACCCCGTGGCCGACTTCACGCCCCAGGCGCTGCCACGTGTGGCCACAGCTGGCTGAATGCACCACGCCTGCTGGCTCTCCCTGACCCGTTCCGCGCAAGGCACTGAGCAAGGTCGGAGGAGAGATACAAAATATTCTTTCACGGAACGTTTTTGCTAGTGCCTAGCACGTGTATGTTGCTGCGCTGAGGCTATACCTCACGGACGTGTTTTCTTGACTCCCCTTCTAGAACGTAAGTTCCAGGAGGGCAGGCATCTTTGTCTACCTCCTTCACTGCTGGATCTCCACCACCTAGAACCCTGCCTGCCATAGAGTAGGCTCTCGACAGATACTTGCAGGATGCATGAACAAACACAGCGCCTGTGAGGGGCCAGCACCGAGGCAGACACTTCAGCAATGCCTAGCAAGTTCTATGTGTGAGATGCTGAGCTTGGTTGGGGCTCGCAGGACAGAGGCTGTGTGCTTAGTACTACTACACTAGAAGCCCCTGAGAGCTGGGGCTAAGTCTTGTTTACTCTCCGTTGGATACCTCACTCCTGGTACCTAGCAAAGCCTCAATAAACCTTTGGGATCTACAGCTAGAAGGGTGGAGGGAAGGAGACTAGGCTGGATGGGAGGGGATAGGGCTGGCTGGTTGCAACCCTGGTTTCAGGGGGTCAGCTTCTGCTCCTGAGCCCTCCCAGGAGGCCCCGGCCCCAGTACCTTGAGGTCCAGGTGCAGAACCCACATCTTGTGCATGAAGAGGATCCCGTCGCAGATCTGCCTGACAAACACCATGGTGTCCACCTCAGTCAGCTGATAGTCCTCATCCACAATCCTCTCGAAGAGCTCGCCGCCCTCGATGCTGTGTGCACAGAGCCCTCTACAGGCTTGCTTCCGGGCCGGCTGGCACCCCCACCCGGCCCCCTGCCCCACTGCCGACACTCACTACTCCATGAACAGGACTATCTCGTGCGAGGTCTCGATGGCCGCATAGAGCTGGATCAGGTTGCGGTGGTTCAGCTGGTTCATCACCTCGATCTCAAGCTTCACCATTTCCTGGGCACCAGGGAAGCCAGGGGCACCAGCTGAGTGTCACCGCTCCTTGCCTTCTCCCCTTCCATACCTTTGCTCTTGACTGGCCCTGTCAGGCCTGGCCTAGACCACTGCCCGGCCTCCTCCTTGCTGGCCTCCTTACCTCCCATCTCTCCCCACCCGGAGCCCGTGTCCACGCCACCGGTCATTCCGGCCAGGACACTGTTCCTCCTGCCTGAATACTCAGGTGCCCGAGGGCCAGTCCTCCGCTCACCACTCTCCCCACTGCACGCTCTCCCTGGGCTTTCTCCTCAAGTCCCAGGACATGCCATTCCATGCAGATGTGACCGATTCCCAAATACGCATCTCCACCTCTGAGCGCGCCCTTGAACTGCAGGCACCAATGGCTCCCACGGCCTGACTGCCATTCCCCTGGGATGGCTAAGAGATCTCCTGGATCTCTCAGGTCCAAATGAAACCGTTGCCACGGCCCCTGCCCCACAGCTGAGTTGCCCTCGGCTTGCCTGTCAGCAAGAGCGCCCGCCCCATCGCCCAGGGGTGCAGGACATAAAGCCAGGAGCTGTCCCAGATTCCTCTCATTCTCACACCCGTCTAGAGGGAAATCCCTCTAGATTTCAAATCCAGTACCTTCTTGCCGGCTCCACCACTGCCTTCCTGGCCTAGGCTGCCATTACTTGTCACTTTCAGAAAGGGTGAACGCCAACCGTCACAATGGTAGCTTGAAGTCGGCCGTGGTAGGAATACTGACACCAGGGAAATGGCTAAAAGCTACAGATCGGGCCTCTCCCCCTGCCCGTCCCCTCAGCCCCCAGCATCACATCAGTGCCCCAATTTTTCCATTTTTCCCGTGATTCTATTCCTTCATTCACATCTCATTCTACCCACCGCTTCCTCAAGAGGCCTGACCTCACCACCTTATCTTAACAGCCCCCATCGGCCCCACACTCCCTGTGCCCTTCCTAGCTTTATTTTCCTTTCTAGAACCGCTCAGTTCCTGACGCCATGCTTTCTGTGTGGGTCATGTTGAGTTGTCTGCCCCTGTCTTGAGCGTGTCGGCCCAGGAAGGCAGGGACTCAAGACACTTCCCTGCCGCTTCCCTAGCACCCGGCACAGTGAATGGCCCAGAAAAAGTACTCACTAATTAATTAATCAAGAGCTGACTCCAATTAATCTCCACAGCACATATGTCTGGAGCATCTACGCTGAGCCAGGTCCATGACAGAGGCCTGGAGACCCCGCAGTCAAGTGGAAGGCTGGAGAAAGGCGGAGTCACGTGGAAAACACATGCCTTCCTGATGTGCACAGAGCCATGATCGAGAAGCAGGACCACAGGGCTCTGGAGCTTCTCCTCATGCTCCTCCCAGGCTCCAGGCCTCCGCGCATGCTGTGTCTCTGCCCCAAATGCCCATAAGTTCCCATTTCGGTTCCCTTGACTCAACCCAAGGGTCCCCCACAGGTCTCTGTCACTCCTGGCCTCACTCCTTCCTTCTCACAGTCCCCTCAGCTTGAGACTCTCTTCCCCGCCTCTCCACGGGAACCAGCTCCTCCTTTGAGCCTTCATTGGAGAGAGACTGGCCAGCTGAATCTGGAGGCTCCTCCACAGCCCCCTCCAGACCCCTGCCTGACCTCCACCTGACCCCCGTCTGACCCCCACCCTAGCTTTCCTGAGCTACGCCCTCACCACAACAGGTGGCGAGGTGGTTATCGCCCCCTCACACACCTGACCCCCTGACCACATGAGCCTCTGCCTACATTCATTCATTCATCCACTCTTTCATTCGTTCCTTAAACACACACTGCCTCGGCGTCCTCTGAACTAGGCCCGGGCCAGGTGTGGAGGCACAGCTCTAGACGCAGCCTGATTACCTTGGCACTCCCTGGTGAGGGCGCAAACCATATTCATTTCACTTAGGGAACCCCGTGCCCAGCGCAGGGCCTGGCCCAGAGCCCACGCTCATCAGCGTTTGCTGGACTGAACCAAACAGAAGACAGGAACGTCCTGTGCCTAGAAGGGGAAGTCCCCAGGATAAGTTCACCAACTGAAGTGTCTTGTTTATGGGTAGGGGCTTCAGGTCCCTGTGGCAGGGTTGTCTGTCTGTCCATCTATCTGAATGACATCTTCAGCGCATCAAGGTTCACACACCAAGCCCCTGGTGCAGACATATGGGTGGAGGGAGGTGAGAGGTACCCACTCAAAGGATCCCCTCCCCTTCCCACGTAGCCAGCCCCTACTACCTTGTCTTTGGGTGTCTGTTTCTTGATGACCTTGGCTGCCAACTTGAGGCCTGTGGCTTTCTCTGTGCAGGTACAGACTGCTCCAAACTTGCCACTGAAGAGAGAAGAGGTGGGGAGTGAGGGGGTTTCCAGGGGCACAGGGCTGAAGTAGGGCGTCTGTGCTCTGCTCCTGTCTGGGTCCCCCTCTGTGAGCTGGGACGCTTGCCCCAGCCAGCCTGACTCCCTCCTGAAGCTGGGAGCTCTGTGGCAGGGACAGTGGCTGAACCACACCAACCATGGGCACAGGATGGGTAGACTCATCCACAGGCTGGCCCCTGATGTGACAACTCACAGCCTCTTGGTAACCATGGGCCCTGGGGCTCTGGGCCCTAGGAGAAGGCACCTGGAGGGCTTTTTATGAAGCTCTTTGAGGGGGTCACGGTGGTGCCTGTAACTGAAACAGACAGGAAAATACTGTTCGCTTCCTATGGGAAATGAGTCAATGATCAATGGTGTGTCTGTGTGTGAGACAGTGAACCGAGTGCATGTCAACCCATGTGACAGCTTGCATACGAGGGGGTAAGTAACCATGCAGAAGTAATTGTGTCCATGTAGATCATGTCCAATCGGGGTGTGTCTGGGCCTTGCACGGGAAAGATGTGAGGCCCTGGGGCTCGATGCTCTCCTGCCCATGGGCCAGGGGTTCGGGGTCCCAGCTCTCACCCGCCCAGTGCCTCCTTGGAGTTCATGCTGAATTGACTGCTGACGTTCCCGGGCCTCAGCTCCACGATGCGGTGGGGAAAGGGGGCTGGGGGTGGCGGACAATCATCTGGGGAGGCAGAGCAGAGCCACCACGGTCAGTGCCAGGGGCTGCTGGGGAGGCGCCCCAGCACCACCCCCTCCTGCCTGGCCTGGGCCCCATCCAGGGAGGTTCACCAAGTGATACCTAGGAGACAGCTGGCTCCGGGATAGGGGCAGGGGGCCCAGTTTCCAGTTTCAGCTCTACTACCAACACACAAAATGGCCTTGGGACTCTGTCAGAGGGGGCTCAGTGTCTCCTGACACAACAATGGGGACAGCTGATTGGACTTCTCAGACCCTCCCACATGATAAGGAATGAAGTCTCCATCCCAAGCTATCTCCATTTCCATCAAAGAAAGAAAGGGTGGGGGGTGGGATGATCATGGTGGAGCGCCAGAGAGGCTATGTCTGAATGATGGGGTAGGTGACGGGACCTGCCTACCATCCCCTCTAATTACACCACAAGCTGGCCCCTCCTCCTGAACGGCTGCCCAACGTGGGCATGACCCAAGGGCAGGGGGAGGGCCGGGGAGGAGAACGGGACCCAGATGTTTGGTAGAGAGAGGCTGCCACCTAGCGGCAACCGTGGGGAACAGCGGGCCCTGGCGGCTCACAGGCTGAGTCATGGGGAATGGAAACCTCTTTATAAATAGCAAGAGGCAGCAGGGAAGCCTGACTGGTGATGAATCTGACGGCCCTTGGAGGTTGTTCAGGTCCCGTCACCCCAAGGATGTGATTTCTGGAGGGGGCAGGGCAGAAGTCTCTGCTGCTGCTTGGGGGAGGAGGCAGGGCTCCTGGCTGCTGCCCAGCCGCCAGGCCCTCCCACCCCGTCTTGGTGGCACTGTGCTGCTGACCGGGCAGGCTGGCCGGGCTTCCGGGGCACCTCAGCCTGGAGGAGGGGGGTGTCAGGACACTCTGGGCTCTTCTGACCCCATCTCACCCCACCCCCAGCCCTGCCGCACCCCCACCCGGGCCCTTTCCCTATTCACCTGCTCTCCAAGCTCGCTCGTGCCCAGTGGCTCCTGCTGCCCACTGACTAAACCACCCAACCACCAGCTCCTTGTCTGATCATCAGTTGAGGCGGCTTCACAGTCCTGCCCCATCGCATGTGCCCAGCTTCCTTGGTTGCTGCTCCCGTACACAGGCACCTGTGCTCCTCAGCTCATGAACCCGCTATGGCTCTCTTGACCCTCCCTACCCCCTCCAGGATGTCCTTTAACTACCAAAGCCTGGCCTTTGAGCCCTTCTACAGACTGACTTCAAATTCCACTGTCCAGAGAGTTGGTGCTGCTCCAAAACCTGTCTGCTTTTTTTTTTTTTTTTTTTTTTTTCAAAACCCCGTTAGAGACAAAGTAGAAGAAAGTCAAAAGTGAGCTCTGAAGTGGGTCTGTTTGGACAGGTTCAAATCCCATCCTAGCTGTGGATTTGGGGCACTTACTCCACTTCCCTTTCCCGGAGCCTCCGTTTTCCCATCTATCAAAAGGACTAGGGATTTATACTTCTTAGAGTTGTGTGACACCTAGATGGGTCAGCCTGGGTGAGGCGTGGCTCAGAGCAGCTCAGTCCTCTAAACAGGGAGACGTGGGGATACCTGGGGAGCCCCGTGCCCTCCCCAGTCCCCACCTGCCCCTGGCCTACCCAAAATCTGGAAGCAGTCCTCCTCCCTGGCTGTGAGACAGAGGGCCTGCCCCACCTCCGATTTCTCCGAGGGAAGAGCCTGGAACTCGATCCCCCTCGAGGTGTCCCCTTGCACCTTAGCCTGGCCAGCCTGGCCTGGAGCCTTCTCTCCTGCTTCCTTCTGGCTGTCTGCCAGGATGTTCTTCCCTCCTTCTGCTGCCTTGGCGGGCCCGGGATCTGTGGGGCTGGGGGTCACAGGCACCCCTTCAAAGATAAGCTCCGATGCCTCACTCAGAGGTTTCTCAGCTGGCAGCTTCTCAGGTCTAGAATGTGAGAACACAGAGGTAGAGGTGATGCCTTTAGCACTGCTTCTGCCTCCGGGAGGCCTCGATGCTTCCAGAGCCTCTTCTGCAATCTGGAGCTGATACAACCACCCCCCACCCCACCCCCAGTCCCCACCACAGCCTCAAATGCATGGGGTGAGGCATCCAAATTCACTTTATACGAAATCAAGGGACGTTAATAATACCATGCAGGTCTGTGGCCATTACCTTGACTATCAATGCACTAATAGATCATTAATATCTACTAATAGGATTGTTGTTCTGGTTAGTCATTAGGTGGCTACAATTAGGGAGATTATGGAGCTCTTGATTCACACAAACTCTGGCAATGCAATGGATTAATGCATCAGTGATACCAATGTATTAATTGATATCAATACATAATTCAGCCTGACGTAGTGGTAGTATTGTGGTTTGCAATTTATCACTAATATCATTCATGTGATTAGCATTAAGGTAAGTCTAATGGATTGCCTTATAAGACTGGTGCTATATTATGGTTATGAAAGCATTAGTAATGATCTATCAATCTGATGATTAGTCATTATTTCATATTATAGTAAGAAAAATGGTTATCTTTTCCTCCTGATATCTCAGTCCTGCCCTCGGCTAGAACCAAGTTCATGGAGTAAGGGGGACGCTGGCCTCCAGATGCTTTGTGAAGAGGTCTTCAAGGACCTCTCTGTCTTGACATTCCAGGTGTCTATGAACTATCACCAAGTCCCGGTTTCTGCAGGGGCACAAGGTAGGAGAGCCAATGCCCGAGACAGATGCTAAACATCCAAACTGCCCAATCCAGCATGGAACACAGTGACGATGAGGCCCAAGACAGAGGAGCTAAACGCAACGACTGCAGAGCCTCAAACCCCTCCCCACTGCCCGACAGGGGACGTTCACCTAGAGATAATAGCGGGGCAGCTGGGGCTGTGCAGAAAGGCGGGCGAGCCCCTCCTGGCCCCTGCTTGGCCCTCCACTGCCTTCTTGTGAACCTTGGGCTCTCCGGGGCCCTGGCCGCCCGAGGCCTCCTGCTTGGCATTGGGCTTCTTGACGCTGGCCTCGGCTGTCGCGGTCTGCTGGGGCAGGGCTGCTGGCGGCCCAGCACTGCCCTCCGCAGGGCCCCCACCCAGGTCGCCTTCTCCCTTGGGGCCCTCGCTGCCGGTGGAGGGTTGGGCCAGGGCACCATCCTCTTTCTTTAGGGCGGCAGCTTTGTCGTCTTTCTTCAGGGTGGGTGGATCAGGCTCTTTCTTTGGATGTGGGGTCCCAGGTTCTTTCTTTGCATCTGGGGTCCCAGGGCCTTTCTTTGGATCTGGTGGACCAGACGCTTTCTCTGCAGCCAGAGGTCCTTCACCTGCTGTACCTTTAGGTGCCTTGTCTGCAGAGGAAGTGAGATCCCAGTCAGGGTCCACCGTCTTCCCCCAGCCAGGCTGACCAGTGACCAGCTCTGGGCCCAAGTCCCCACCTAGGCAGCAGTTTGCAAATACTTGTCCCACTGAGGCTCTGGGGCCGTTTCATGGGCTCTAGAGATGGGCTGCTGGGGCCTTGGAGGCCCCTGTGGGAGACTTCTGGTCCTCTAACACACCTTGATGCCCCCACCATCGCTCGCCCTGAATGTTTAGGCGCCATGCATGGGGGCTCCACATTTTCCCAGTCTCTCCGGGGAGGGCTTCCGGTCGGCCCTCGACCCAGCGCAACCTTACCCAGAGATTGTTCTAATTTCTGGGTCCTTCACGCACCATACAAAAAGGCCTGGGACCCAGAACTCCCGCTGAGGAATGGGCCCGGCCCTGGAGTCCAACAGCCCTTCCCAGGCTCCTCCCTCTGTCTCCTGCCCCAGCTTGGCACCTGTTGATGGGCTCTGGATTCCCAGCTCCACTGTTCCGTTTTCTGTCGCCATGAGGCAGGGAGGCGTGTGCTTCTGCTTGTCTAACTCAAGTCTTTCTAGCTGCAGAAAGAAGAGTGAGGTGTGTCAGGCTGTCAGATTCTTCCTCTTGCCTGGCAGAGAAGAGCCAGGGCCAGCTGACTGAGGGAAGAGAGGTACCCGGAGCAGAGAGGGGCAACCTGATGGCCGCCTGACTTGCAGCGGCTGCCCAGGAGCTCTCCTGGGGCAGTTGTAAGGGACTGGGCTGGGTGGGCAGAGGCGGAGGCAGGGGCGCAGGCAGGGGAGGCGGGGACGGAAGAGAGGATCTCTTACACCAGGGGCCATGCAGCCCGGACCGCCACCACCTGTCACTCTTGGCCCCCATTCAGAGGACACGGCATTCTTCCCACAGCCCGACCGGGGGGGGGGGGGGGGGGGGGGAGAGTGTTGGAACAAGCAGGAAGAGAAAAGGGAGGGGGCCCCTGGGCCCCTGAGGGAGCAGCCGTTCCCCAGGCCTTGCCCAGTATCGCTGGCTTGGACGGGATCAGGCAGGGGGCCTGGCACAAGAGGGGTTCCCCGGCAGGGCCAGAGGACAAGATTATGCTCAGGCTGAGCCCTGGCTCTGCCCACCTGCATGCCACGTCTCCTGGGGTTGCCCAGAAGCTGGTGAGAGCCACGCAGGCCCAGGGGATAATCACCCTGACCCCACTGCCCAGCTCTGTGCCCATGATCCCTGCTCCTGGCCTCTAGACCTGCTTGGGGGCATCTTTGGGGAAGAAATTGTCCCAGGGGCACTTGCTCAACATGTCCACGGGCCTGAAAGCATTTTCTTTTGGAAAATGTATTTTTCTTGGGCTCTTGGGGAGACGGAGCCTGGCCTGCTTGGAAGGAGGGGGGCTGGTGGAGAGTCTTTTCCAAAGATCCTTGACTACAGTGGGGAACTGGGGGCCACTCAAGCCCGAGGTGATCAAGCTGAGATGGGATGGGGAGAGGTATGATCCGGAGAGCCTTCCATCATCCAGGGACTGCCTGCCCAGAGCCTGTCTCTGAGGGGGGCCTTGAGAACCAGCTGGGCTGAGTGCACTGGAAACAGCTCTGCAGGGGGCATCTGGGTTCAGGGCCTCCCCCCCAACTCTAATTCTCCCATGGAGGACACCACCCCTTCCCCCAGAGGGAGGGAGGCGGAAATGACTGGAGAAAACAGCAGGTCTGACCAAAGGAAAATTATGCAGCTGTAAACAAGATTGACGAGGCCGGGAATGAAAGGATGCGAAGCAACCTCCCAAATGGAGGGGAAACAAAAGAAAGAAATTTAAGCCATGTGCAGAACAGCAAGTACAATATGCTATCATTGGGCAAAAGGGGGTAATATATATAATAATATATAAACTTTCACCTTATACACATAAGAATTTCTTTGTGATGACAAGCAAGAAACTGGGGGGCAGGGGTGGGAGGGAGACATCACGGCACACCCTTTTACTTTTTTTTTATTTGCACCATGAAATATGTGAATGGAATACTATTCAAAATGAGTGATTTTTTTTTAAGTGAGCAAATGTTGGGGTTGTTGGTGGTAGAGGCTAGCAAAGACCAAAGTTGGGGTTCCTTCCCCAGTCTCGGTGACTTCTTGCCCCTCCTGGCCCTCCTCACCTCCGGTTCTCTCCTTCCAGGTGCAGGTGACAGTTTGCCTCTTCTGGGGAGCAAAAATACTGATGAAAGCCTGTCTAGTATTCACTCCGAGTGCTCTTATGTGGATTCACTCATGTGATCTTCAGAACAACCCAATGAGGTAGGTACTACTACAGATGGGGAGACTGAGGCACAGAGCAGTTCCGTAACTTATCCAAAGCCATGTGGGTTGTTGTCAGGGACTGAACTAGGGTCTGAATGAACCCAGGCTCTCCTAGGGGAAGGGAGCTCCCATTTTTATGAGGGCCTGCGGTTAGCTCTATGCATGTTGTCTGAAAACTTCATCTTGATAATAACTCTGTGGGGAGCTTCCATCCTGTTCCCTGGATGAAGATGGCGGATCAAAAGAGTCATGTGCCCAAAGTCACTCCACGAGGGAGTTGAGCCAGAAATGTCCTTCTTCAAAACCCAAGGTCCTCTTTCCTCCCCCAGATCTCCCAGCCTGTGTCTCACCTGTCTCTCCCTGCCCGGCGCCCCCTCTATGGTCTGATAGGATTCCGAAGGCTGCAACGCTTCCTCTCTGTGCTTGCTCTTGGGAGCCCCCGGCCCTCTATTTGTTCGTTCCCACAGCATGTTCCGGTTTTGCGTGAGATGTTGGGCCCTCCTCCTCTGGCCTCCTTTGGTTCCAGGCTGATCCCACCATTGACGGTCTCTGGGAGCCCCTTGAGGGCAAGGGCTTTATGATGCTCACGTGCGTCCCCAGCACAAAGTGTACTTGTCAGGCAGTGTTTGGTGAGTAAGCGACTGACTGGCAAGGCTCTGGACTGGGTTTGTGGGATTACTCGGATACGACGGCCCTTGCTGACATCCCCTTGTTATTAACCATGGTTGTCGGCATCATACTTACTGAGTGTGCACTCAGGGCCAGGCCTGACTCTGCCAAGGGCTTTACCCAGCTCACTGGCTCCTCACAAAAGACTGCGGGGCCAAGGATTAGGCCACTTTAAAGGTGCGGAAGCTGTTGCTGAGAGAGGGGAAGGGGCTCGCCCCTGAGAGAGTCACACAGCCACTGAATAGCGGCAAACTATCCGGATTTGAATCCAGCACCACCTCTTGTTGAGACAACATAAGGGGCTTTATTTGTTACATTTGTTACTGTTATGGTTCCCAAATAAGTAGCATTTCTTAAGCTCTTACTAAGTGGGTCAGGCCCCAGGGTAAGCAACTTCATGACAACTAACCTACCGAGCAGTGGTTAAGGAGCTTTGAGACTAATAACCAAGGCTTGGACAAACGCTGTCACTGTTTCCTTACCTACAGGACGAGCACCTTCCTCATAGGGGTGGTGTATAAAGGATTTAGAACAGTAAGTGCTGTATAAGTGTCAGCTCTTTTCTCCCCGTTTCACAGATGTGACAGGAAAAACTGAGTCACAGGGCAAACTCACAGAACTGGGTTTGAACCGTCTAAGCCCAGGCTCAGCTCAATAACCACTCTGCCCCATTGCCTCTCCCAGGGTGGCTGGGAGCACTTAGCGAGCACACGGTATGTAGAGCGCTTGGCACAGCACCGGCAGCACTGTGGGCTCTAGATAATGTAGTGGACAGCCCAGGTAGAGGGCTCAGCTGTCCCGGCAGGCTCCTCCGCGGTCCCTACCGCTGGGATGAGAGGCTGGCCTGGTTCCGGATCCACGGGATTGCCTGCAGCTTGCTCGCCTGCCCAGGGTTAAGTTCAGCTGGGCCAGCTGCTCCCTGGGAGTCCCCGGGCTTCTCAGCACGCCCTTGGAGGCACAGGGGAGGGGCCTGGGGAAACCGCCTCCTCCTGGCCGGGGGCTGCCAGAGACCCTGCCCACCCTTAAAATGGGGCTTTCCCGCCCTGCACCAGCTGTGCAGCCACCCTCTTTGCCTCTCCAGGGGCAGGGCAGGAAGTGGGGCAATGCCAGGACCAATTAAACCCGCCAGGGAAATTAAGGTCAGCAGGATGCAATTATGCCTGTTGGATTTAACAAGGCCAGAAGGAAGATTTCTCCAGCCAGAGTTCATGGCTCCTTAGGCCTCATGCCCTGGATGGCTCTGCATTCCAGAAGCCTGGGCTCTCAGGCTCACCCATCCCTGGGAGAATTACTTGGGAGTGGAGGGGTTAACTTTCCCTGGGCACTGTTTCCCTGGCTCCTGGAAGGAAATTGACCCAGCCAAGAGGCTTTAAAAGGCCCTGCTCAGAAAAGACGTTTCCCGGCCTGACCCTCTCCCTGCTCGGCTGTGATGGAAAATCCAGGGAGTTGAGTAACCTTTCTGACTCCAAAGAGCAGCCAATTCCCCTCACAACTTTCCTGTGGTCCTGACATGGGAGCCACCCAGGGCTGTTTTCTCCTGCCCTCTCCCACCTCCGGTCCCTAAACCCGGGGCTGTGGCAGTACCTCTCAGGCCTCTGGGGGAGGCCTAGGTAAGACCCTGTCCTTCCTTCCGAGGCTGATAAGCAGAGTCTATGGACACTCTGTGTGCAAACTGAACAGAGATCCCTCTGGAAGCCCAAATGACACACTGATCCATCTTGAAATTATGGAGTTTTATTGCTAAGATTACTTACTGAAAGCTCTAATCTGTGGCAAGGGCTAACGTGGTCACTTTGGGGACACAGAGATGTTGAAGAATAGCGATAGAATCATCACATGGTGCAATTTCAGTCATTCATGAAGTAGGATCCTTTCTTGTTGTTAAAAACATTTATTAAGGGGGCGCCTGGGTGGCTCAGTCGATTAGGCATCTGCCCTTGGCTCAGGTCATGATCCCGGGGTCCTGGGATCGAGCCCCTCATCAGGCTCCCTGCTCAGCGCGGAGCCTGCTTCTCTCTCTGCAGCTCCCCCTGCTTCTGCTCTCTTGCTCATGGTCTCTCTCTCTCAAATAAATAAAATCTTAAAAAAAAATTTATTAGGAAAATGAGAAAATGTCTGGAGGGATATAAATATACATATTAGTAGGTATGAGAGTAGAGATGGTTTTTATTCTTTGGATCTTCCATTTTTTTCAAAATGACCATTTGTGACTCTAAACGGATTAATAAATAATTTGAAATGTATCAGTATGTACACAGATTTCTATACTTCAAGACAGAAAGTGGTACAAGCTGCATAGGAGATATGAAAACAGCATGGATTGGGACTGCTGGTCAGGGATGGCTTCTCAGATGAAGGCATGGCTCCGGCAGGCTTTCTCAGTGCCCAGGCCCCCCGAGTTTGTTTTCAAAGAAGCCTTCTTTAGAAGGCAGCCCCAGGACTCTCTCTTGAACCAGCATTTCAGGTGGTTCTCATGCACACCCAAGTTTGAGAACCCGCAAGTCAGAGAGCCAGCTTTGAGGCCCTCCTGAGAGAGCCTGGCTGGTGCAGCTCCAGAGCCTGGGCTGGGCTT